ATTCGTTGTCACTGAAGAGTTTCATGGACAGGGTAGGTTATTGTTGCTTAGTCACCTTGCATAGGAATGCTACGATTATTCGTGGGGGGGGGGATTACTTTAGACAATAATATGCTTTCATGTTTGAATCACTAAATGAGTCCGTAGTCATAGTAAAAGTAGAAGTAGAGAGTCCAAAAGTTCTAGGAAAATACCATCGTACCTTTGTGGATATTTCCGTGGAATTATTCCTGAGAATAATGCACAATGATCAGACGTTACTACACTGTTATGCTATTATACATAACTATCACATAACATGGTTACTGCATATAGATTATATCAATGGCCTTTCCATGGGGATACATGCTACAGTTATTAACAAATTAATATGGATAGCCTCAGTAATATTTTAGATTATAACAGATAGTAGAAGACTTACACTGAATATCTAAGTACCGGACATGTTTGAACATAATTGCATATTGTAAGAGCAGTATATAGTGTAACTATACACACATTTGGTATACATAGTATAAGACAGTACATAAGAAGACTTAAACCAAGTATCTAAATACTGACTTCCTATAACATAACACAGTTACTGTACATATATTGCATGCATTATCAATGGCCTTTCCATGGGATACCTGCCACAGTTATTAACAAATAAAAATGAGTAGCCTCAGTAATACTTTATAACAGAAAATAGAAGACTTAAGCTAAAGTATGACTTAAGGTATCTAAATACAGACATGTTTGAACATAATTGTACAATATATGAACAATATATAGTATAACAATATACACATTCGGTATGCCTAGTACAAAAACAGTATATAAGTACTGATGGTTGTATGTAATCAGCATTACCAATACTACTAAACACGGTATAATGGAAAAGAATTTACAAAATACAATAATAATTTTACAATAGTAAGTTACAACGATTGCAGAATGAAAACTGAATGAACTATTCAGAATATACACTCATGTAAGTGTATTTTAACAGTAATGTGTACTACAGTACTGAAATACATTGATTAATTTACTGAGTGCACTTTTATGCCTCATTAAGTGCAATGCCCACTCTTTCCAGTATGATTCTGAAGGCTTGTAACCGAGATTTAAATACTAGTTCTATCTAATTTATATATAATGCGGTCCTCAAACTCTTTCTAGCAGAGAACTATAGGTGGGAAACAGTAAAGGACAGCTTATTCAAAAATAAAATTAAAAAAAAAAAAGATTTTATATTATGTCCAAGGGGGCGTTTTTTCAACCTTTATTTATTAAATATCATGTTCTTTGCACTTAAACTATAAAATTCAATTCAACAGCAGTATCACAAAATAATTTAAAAAGAGTATATATTTAGAATTTCCGATACACAGTTTCGCTCGCTGGAGATTTTTTTTTTTTTTTTTTTTTCTGTACAGTCTTGGCATTATTCGCTTTGAAATCGTTCAGTTTGTTAATTAAAAATTCTTTAAAGTTTAGCAAAATATGGAATAGATAATAAAACAAATTCTAGATTCCAAATGTTGGGTTCCAGATGCCCATATTCGAGTGGAAGACTACGTTATTCAGATGTCTTATTTGATGTCTCAAGTACATACTCTAGGTTCATACTTTTTCCACAGTGCGAGAAACATACATACATTCATGCAGAATTTTCATTATTTAATTTCATTAAATATAATGCAGGGCTCTAATATTTAGTGGCAACAATTTGAAAAGTGAAACGCCATTTATAATGAACCAACGCAAAATGCTAAAAGAAAATTAATAGCCCTTCTAGGCAAATTGCCCCTTTGAGCTAAAAATTATTAGAAAATTAAAATAAACTCCTGCAACTTTTATAATATAAAAACATAATACAATACAGTACCAACTTCTTTAAGAAGTAATTAAATTAAATTTTACCATGCCTATTATTGCTCTACAGAGCTCTGCAAATATACATATATTTTGAGCAATAATGGAAAAATAATTTTACGTCCTCACGAAAGCACTCGCACATGCCAATACATTTCATGGAACTTAAATTAAATGATTGGAATACCCACTCAATAATAATATTGATAATAATTTGGCGTCTTTCGTATACTTTTGAAAATATTTTTAATCATTATGTACATTTCACAAAAATAATAAAGTTGCGAAACACGGCGCACCGCAACCACTGTAGTAAGGGGAGGTCATATTCCTTATTAAACCTCTCTTGGACGCAAAGCGCGGTTTTTTCTTTAAAACTTTTTACACTTTTAAGACGTATTTGCAACAAATAAGAAAAATTGTGACAGCAAGCGGATAGAGAATCGGAAGAGGAAGACTTAGTTTCCAAACAGGGTTTGTTAAGATTGTTTTGGTCATGATTTCCCTTCATTTTAATCGATTTTAGTTGCCAAATTTTTAATTTATGTTTGGCTGAATCATATGACAGTGATTAATTTTGAAATGTTGCGATTTAGAGATTTTTTTTTTTTTTTAATAAACGGTTACTATTTTTAGGACGAAAAGGGAGAATAATTAAAAATTAGGCTTCAGTGGTTATAACAAATTGCATATCGTGCAAGATTTAGGATCTTTATGGCGATATTTATTTTTAATGTAGTCTGTTTGAATTTAAAATGCAATTATGGTATTTAATTTTTAATATTGAATCTTTTGAGGCATCAATTAATTCTTCCGTCTTCTTCAAGACAAGTGATGTCATATATAATAAATCTAAAATTACTTTTAATCCAATCAGACATCTCAGTTTCTTCTGATAAAATATTATCTTATATATAGTTCTTTACAACTGAGAAATGTGTTATGTAATTTCTAACACTGTGGCTCATATTTAATTCATTTTCCAGTAGTAAACTATTCTGCTATTGAAAACATTATACATAAATAGCTTAGTTACGTATGCAATATTTCAAATGTAATAAATTTTTCATTAATTTTAATAATATGCATCTTACATCTTTGAAAGGGTGTTTAAAAAATTGTTTAAAGTGCTTGATTAAACACACAAATTATCATAATTGTCGCGAATTATCATAACGTTTAATATTGGATTATAATCATGTCTATGTTCATTTAAAAAATACTGAATTTTCGGTACATATCTTTGTGGTTCACTTTCAAATATTCCTTCATATTTCCATTTTAACTTACGGGAGCTCTGGAGAGAGCTGCATGGAATTTCCCCTCGGTGTCACTTTTTTTTTTTTTTTTTTCCTCCGAATTTCCAGATATGGTCTGGATATGTTCCCCTTTTGTACAGATACAGTAAAGTTAAATTTTCGTCACTTTTGCCTGTTTCATATAGCGTTTATTTTTAAACCAAATGACGTTAGCGACGAAGGGCAAATAGTCTCAAAACGGAATTTTGCACTGAATCACCATAAAAGTCTAAATCCCTTTTCAAATTGTTGCCACCAAATATTATTGCCCTGTACTACATTTAAAAAATTAAATAATAAAGAATCTACATGAACTCCTACATGTTCCTCGTATTGTGAAAAAATAACAGTACCTAGGGCCATCAAATTTTGAATAACGTAGCCCTCCACCCGAATGTGAGCACCTGGAAGCTCGAATTTGGAATTTGCTTTATTGTTTGTTTCATATTTTGTAAAATTTAAACGAATTTTTTATTAACAAAATCAAAGATTTCAAAGAGAACAATGGCAACACTGTGCGGGGGGGGAAAATATATATATATATATATATCCAGCGCGCTAGACTGTCTATCGGAAATTCTAAAGGCAGGCTGTTTTTAAATATTTTTAGCCCAAATGGTCTCGAAACATGTATGTGTGTGTAAATAAAAAAAAATAATTAAAAAAACACGCTCTTTTGGGTGTAGTATAAAATGTGAAAGCTTTCAGATACCCCCCCTTAGATTTAATTATTTCCATTGGTTTCTGTGTAATGAACTTGTACACAAAATACTGTTGTGAAGTTTAAATAAATCATCTGTGGGTTCAAGAACGGATTAATTGATTTTATATTAATTCTTTTGAAGAAAATAATTTCGGTTTAAGAACTTAAAGAATTAAGAACGACTTTCAAAAATGGATTAAATTCATGAACCAAGGTTTCATTGTAGTCGAAATACGCCTTAACAACTTGGAAATTTATTTTTATGACGTAAATTTCTTGAAAACAAAAAACATGTATTTTCCTTCACCAGCGAACAACATCTAACGGGACTAGCTGGCGCTCTTTACGAATTACGAACGACTTTCAAAAATGAATTAAATTCATGAACCAAGGTTTCATTGTAGTCGAAACACGCCTTAGCAACTTGTAAACTTATTTTTATGACGTAAATTTCTTGAAAACAAAATATGTATTTTCCTTCACCGGCAAACAACATCAAATGGGACTAGCTGGCGCTTGATCTCAAAAACGCAAATGACGCAGATGTGTTTTCATATTTTATGACATCTCCCCTTTCGAATTCAGTTATTTGAAGGTCAATACTACGCTACTAATGACTGATGAGCATCGCAATTAATTCAGAAAAACCAGTCACGTTTGTAAAATATATAAACAAGCTACAAAGGCGCCATCGTCACGTTTTCGGGCATGCATCTTGGTGCTCTTTCCAGTTATCTAGAAAAGAACCGTATTTTCATATAATTTGTTACAAAATCTGCAGTATTATCTAAATATACTTTTACTGAATCAAGCATACGCAACTAATTTGAAGCCATATGTACAGTATTTTGAAAGTAAAATTTTATTTTAAATTTAAATAATTATAATTTTAGTTTCATACTTTAAAAACGCTGTTCGTCTGGTTCTTTTCTGAAAAGAATTAACCTATTTAATTTCATTGATAAAAAAAACTGAAAAAAAAAAAAAAAAAAAAAATCGCCGAAACTCCGAATTCTGTAATGGAAAGTGCTGACTGAAAGGTGATTGGTAATATTGATAACAAAGGCGCGTAAATACTGGATCTCGCCAAATTGTTGATTTTTGATCTGTGACGGCAGGTATCTCAAGTAGTTACATCGATCGCTATTGGGCAGTGGATTGTAATATTAACCGGTTCCTAAGCGCGCAAGAAGTTCATTTGTAATTTATTCGTTTAACTGAAAAGAAGGCACACACTTGTTCACAGTTTTGTTTGAAATTCGATGGGTTATCAGCACTGGCCAACGGATTTTCCAGACGAGTATAAGACTCCTCTTCTAGAAAAAAAAAAGGGAGAAACGATCCTTAATAGGCAAGGATTTTTAAATGAATTTATTCTTATTATTTTTATAATTCTTGTTAGGTGTAGTAAAATACCAGTTAATTGTGTAAAAGAAACTGGAAAAAAAAACTGAAATGAATTCTTCTCAAAATATTGATTTAAGAATTTAGTTTCTTGAAAAGTTGTAGAAATTTTTTCGATACAGATATTAATGCTTTAATTATTTAAAAAATCATTTTGAAATTCTCAATATCCGCAATTTAAGTATTTATCATTAGTATTAATATTCTAGAGTTTTAAAAATAAGAATCATTCGCTGCTTTTTTTTTTTTTTTTTTCTTTCATTGAGTTAAAATGACATACGTGTTATTAGTCTGCTCATTTACTTAAGATGTAATCGTAATTAAATTGCTAATTTCGCAGAGAAAGAGGCTTTTAATGGGTTAAAATTAGGGAGGAAGACAGGTGATTGATTTTTAAGCTAAGAAAAACTATTCTGAAATGTAGCAAAAATGTTATATTCTCGTTCCAGAGGGAAAGGCGGCATATATCTTTTTCAATATCAGTACCGTATAATAGTTACTATTGCTAGAATTAAAGGGTTTTTTTTTTTTTTTTTTTTTTTTTTTTTCAATAATCCGAAGTATTTTAAAGTGCCTTAAGTTTATAGTACTTAAATTTTACATTTGATTGAATGTAAAATTTATAAATTATTCAGCAGTTTTTTGAAAAGAAAAATTAAATTATAAGAAAAATATCAGCAGGGCTTTACTTATTTTAAATTCGCAAGTGTTTCATTTTCATTTAAGTTATCTGATTTCACAAATAGCTAGAGTTTTTCATTATGTTCAAAGTTATTAGAAGAAAGTGTTAAAAATTAATATTCTCTTGGCATATTAGTATCTAAACAATTGGGAGTTGCAATTTTCATTTGACAGTGCAATTTCTATCATGAATTCCACATGAATTATTGCTTTTTAATCGTGAAACGATTATTTTATTTTATTTAGTGACTTAAGTGTGTTTTCCGTAAGCCTTCAAATTTTAGCCTGCATTAGTGAAAAAAAAAAAAAAAGACCGTGTACCAGACCAGATACGAATCTTGTGTATTTGTGTTTATTTAAACACTGTATCAGTCAGTGGTCTTTAAAGTTGCGAATTCTCAGGTTTCCAAGTTTAGAAGGAATAATTTATTCAATGAAGACAAATAATTGTTCACAATTGTCCTTGAAATTCGTTGGGTTATTCAGCATGGGCCAAAGATTTCCCAGACAAGTTTAAAATTTCTTTTTTTAGGGAAAAAAGTACAGAAGAAACGGTTTTCATGAGGCAAGAATTTTTTAATGTATTTGTAATTATCACTTTCATAATTAATTCTTGTTTGGTGTAGTAAAATTGCGGTTATCTGCATAGTTCAAACTGTGTTTCACGGAATCTTAGGATTCCAATTTCTAGAGATTACTCAGAACAAAATCAAGATTTGCAATAATTTTTGATAGTATGGAAATCGCCAATGCAAACAGCTGAAGTAATTATTTAAATTTTTTTGTTTATTCCAATTGTTAACGCTACCTGAAATGATATAAAGTCTGATTTTAGGATAACAGTTATAATAAAATAAGATTTTTTTTTTCATTTTCTGTGTAAAGTGTACGGAACGTCACTATTTTTTAAACATTTTATTAACATTTCCTCTTCTTAGAGCAATACAGGTTCCGCAAAATAAAAATTCTGGGTTAATGGGCTCTCCAAGTCGACAAAGTTTTTGAAAATAATTGTGTTATAACGTTAAGTAATTTGGTAACTGCCTTATAATGTTCAATAAATTTATCATTGCCTTATAAGGTAATTAAAACGTGAAGATAATAGGCACTGAGCTATTTATTAAAATATTTATTAATATTTTGTATAGGGCATGTACTTATTAACACCTAACGAAATAAATATTATTTTAAGAGAATTTTAATCATTGTTAGCGTCTGGTAAATAAAAATGGAAATGATTATAATTTTCTTAGTTTTATGACTCGTTCACTTTCTTATTTGTTTAAAAGCATTTGAATTTCTGAAGATTAAATAACTTGTTAAAGTAATATTTCTCATCTTTTGAATTACTACGTACTTATACTATCAAGTTAACATATTTTGTTTAAAGGCAGGCTGTACTAAATTGTAAGCGAAAGAGTCCTGAATGATCCGAATCCAAAAATTACAGATGTTTATTTTAAAGAGAAATAAAATTAAAGTGAATGTAACAGAAATTTAATAGCAATAAATTATTTCATTAATGAAATTAAACAGAAGTTTAATAATGAATTCAGTTCAAGTATGAAATGGAAATAATCCAGAATTTAGCCAACTATAAGGTGAAACCGGTAAATGACCTCTTGATCATCGATTAGGATCGCTAAAACGATCAGGACAACGCAAAGCAAAATATTGCGCTATATTAATAAAGACAGCTTATGGAAAACTTACATTCATTTTACCCTCCGCTATGAGCCCCCAGCGACCGAGCGGTAAAGCCGCTGAACGCTAGTAATTCGGTACAAGGTTGGAATCCCAACCGATCAATGTTCGACCGATGTTCTGTCTTTTGCAGCTTCGTTTTTTTATTCAAAGATCAGATAAAATTCTTACATTTTTGCATTTTTGAGAAAATTACCAAGTATTTTTCCGGATTAATTGCTCGGAATGCTTTCATAACAGTGCTTCGTCCTAAAAGCAGCAGCATTTTTATACAAATCGGCCTCTGTTTGTCAATCCAAAAACTTTTTTAAGTGTGCCCTGGCACATTTAAAATGCGCTTTTAACTTGAAAAAGCTGTTATCAGCTTTTAACTTGAAGTAAAGAAATTTTCATAACGTAGCCAGCGTCATTGTGCAACTGCCCCATTTGCTCTACACCAAAAGATTAATCCTTCAGACGAGAAAAGAAGTGAAATCAAAGAAGTTAAACTGAGTGATACACTTTCCAGATGGTACCCATTAAGCTGATTTCACAAAATTTTTTAGATAAGTCAATAATATACAATTTCTCATATTGATCTTAATCATAAATATGCCAATATGATATTATTAATAATAATAATTAAAAATCTAAGACATTTGTTGCGAGATCACGGATATCCGGTTAAAGGTCTTGTCAACCAGATGATGCTTTTAGTTTAAGTCAGAGAAGAAATTCAAATAACTTAATAATCGCTTTCCTGCCTTAATAACAGATTTAAAGACTTAAAAAAATTAATATGCACCCTGAATATAGGAAAAACCATATGCAAACATTTTTCTGTTTTTATTATAATTAAAATTAAAAAAAAATAACTTAACCCCAGAGATATAAGAATCGCATTAATTGCTTATTGCATACTGTTCGTAATGAGGTGTTAAAAACTGTACTGAGGCGTGCATCGTGCTTCGATTTACTTTAGTTCGCGCTGAGGCGTTACACAAATGCAGATGTTTGTGATAAACTTCTTCAAAAATATTCCAATTTTAATATCTGAACTAAAAATTTTAAAAAATGAAAGGTTTCAGATTTTAATAGTCACCCAAAAGGGTTTATTAAAGTTTTTTACGCTCTCGCTGAGCTCGCAGTCTATACGAGTCTCCTGTTGCACTCATTCCTGCTAAACTTGCTTTTTCTTTTTAGCTCAAAGGAGCGTTAGAAGGGCTATTAGTCTCAAAACGGGATTTTGTGTGGAATCACTATAAAAGTCTCAATCACATTTCAGTTTGTTGCCACCAAATATTATCTCCCTGTTTTATATATAAAGAAATTAAATAATGAAGAATTTGCATGAATATATGCATGTTTTTTGCATTGTAAGAAAACAATATCTAGAGCCATCAAATTTTGAATAACGTGATCCTCCATCCGAATATGGAACATGCAAGCCCGAATTTTGAATTTCGAATTTGTTTTATTGTGTATTTCATATTTTGTAAAACTCTAACGAATTTTTGAGTAACAAAATGAATGATTTCAAAGCGAGCAATGGCAACGCTGTACCGGAAAAAACAGTTTTATCTTTAGCCTGTGAGAATGTGTATAGGAAATTCTAAAGATAGGCTGTTTTTAAATACTTTCAGCCCAAAAGAAAATTAGCCTAAATGCTCTTGAAACGTGGATTTGTATGTAAATTATAAAAACGCCTCTTTGGGCGTAATGCAAAAGCTTTCAGATTATTTGTTGATATATATATATATATATATATATTGTGTTTTAGCTTTATTACTAAGCATCGTTTCCTTTGCTCCTTTGCACTTGAGCCAACACCAGTGCTTAAATTGCGCCGGAGCCCGGCTCGGTGTTTCTCAATTTTTAAGATAAATTACAATTCTAGCCGGAGCGCACCGGAGCCCTAAATAAGATGAGCTCCGGCACTTCTTTTTATAAAACTGAACCACAATTTAAAGGGAAACAAATTTAGAATTCGTAATGTTTTAGTTTAACAACAATAAGCAGACTTTGCAATACTCTATTTCCCTAGAAATACGATCTCATGAGAACATGAAACATTCAAGTAAAGTCCCCTCACTCACATGCGGAAAACTTTCCCTCTAAGAAGGGCAATGAATTTGGGGGAGTTTGTTTAGGAACGCGTAAATTGCTCACCATGGCCATCGTATCTAGTGTATTGTTATCGATGCTTACAGTTAGTTATCCTTACAGGAAGGAAAATGTGTGTTCTTAAATGAGCGTTAAGTGACAGAGAGTACAGTAAGAGTGAAATAAAGAGATAAACTGCTCAAGCACGTCCTATACATCGTCTTGCCGCAGTATCCATTAATGGGGGGAAGCGTAACCAGCAACTTAACATTCATCCTTAGGAGTCAGATTCAGGACTCATTTTACCATTAACATACATCTGCTTGATGTCTATAATTATATCAGCAGAGAGCTGCGGTCAAGGAGAACGTTCTCTCTCACCAAGATTCCCCTTATTTTTTGTTTCCACCCACTCATACCCTCATTCTGTTTCGCCCTGGAATTTTAATCAGCTATACTTTAAGCATATTTAATTTTTGG